TGCTGCTGGTTTACAGTACTTCAGTGATCAGGGTTTTTTTTAGTCATCCACACATTTGTGTTGCCTTTAAACTCTTAACTTTTCTTCCTCTGCATGTACATTTGTTTCTGGTATGTTTTTATACAAAGCTGTAAGTATTTCCCACTTGTTCTTTTTTTTAAACTGAAGTACACATCAAAACAGTTCTGCGTAGGTTTTTCGTAGCTGTTTTCACAGTAATTCCAACACTTTCCCGTTACGATACTGGTGTCTTCATTGGAATCTTCCAGCAGTGGCCAAACCTCTGTTCTTTGTCATCGTACCAACTGGAACACTGTCTTCATCACTTTTTTAGAGCTCGTGAGAACAGTCAGAACACTGTCATTGTAGTGTTCATTTTATAACAGCAATAGGAAAGACCGTGTACTATTGTTAAATAGCTTATGCATGTAAATTGAGTACGTTTTGTTGCTGTATGTCAAACTATTGTACTACAAACAATGCTTTTATCGAGAATTAACTAAAATATCTTCAAAGAAATTAATCATGTGTCGTCTTGTTAAACTATTTAGCTGACCACAAAAATGTGGAGGGCAAATGACACATGGTAAGAAATCTTGGATGTTTCAGGCTATTGTCTGATACAATAATCAAGAAGGTGACTTCTGGGGTTTCAGTACTTTACAAACATGAAGAAATAACTCATGATTTGAGAGGAGTAGTACCTCTGCAGGAGGCTGAGAGAAAGTGCTTGTTGGGGCCAAGCTGCCACCCTGAGTAGAGCAGGGGTAGCTTGTGTCGCCTGTGGGATCCACTCTTGAGTGGATGTGGTACTGCTTCATGTGCAGTGGGAGATCTGTGCCTCATCTGTGTCCTGTCTCCTCACAAGGAGAGTGGTTTTTTTTCTGAGGTATATGGATAAAAACAATCCCTGACGCTCTGTTTGCAATTTTTAAAACACTGAAGTGAGAAGACAGACCACTAACAAAACACTCCTTTTTGTTTTCTATTGTCTTCTCCCTCCTTGATAAAAGGAAAAACAGACACTACAGGCTTATTCAGAGACTTCAGTATTGCTCCATTTTTTTTTATTCTATCAGTTTGTCTTGTGTTAACAGGTATTTTTTTGCATTAATGGGCTGGTAGACCTGAAATTGTGTTTATTTTAAAATGCTGTCTTCTATTGTAACCTAAAATATAAATGTATTTCTGACTGTATGTTATCTCTAGGGACAAAGAACATGCCTCTGATAATATGGTTACCCAAATTTTCTCACTAATATTTTCTCATTCATGTCCTTTTACATAAATTATTTGAATTCAGACAACATATTTTGTATTGTCTTTAATTAAATTGTTGAACTTTCTGTAAACTTTTGTACTACAGCAAAGCTGTTCTGTGTTTCTTTTATTAGACCAGATGCTGGAGGGGAAATGTTAATAATATCCTGTGGGTATTCAGCCTCAGTTACGCAAACCAGGAATTTATTATTTAAGCTATAGGCAGGAGGTCCTTTGTCACTGTCATAGGAGATACCACTGTGGAGTGGTACTCCTGTCTCTTCATGCTTGGAAGAGAGTGACTTAATGAATGTGTTTGCATGGTAAATTGTAACATTTGTGATTAATACTAGTCCGAAGTCCACTTGTACTTGAGCTTCTGGAATTAACTGAGTTTTTGTATGCAGACTCAGCCTTTTTGGACTTTCCTGGACTTGGGAGCTTTTCACTTTTTTTTTTCCACTCCTTGGTCAGTCTTTTTCGTGGATGTCTGTGCATAAAGTGCTGTGAGTTACACACGTCTGTACTGGAAGGATGGTCTCATCTCATTTTGACAACCTGTACAGGTTGGCTGTTATTTTACTCTATTCTGATTGCATTGTGTAGTAGAACTCTTCATTTATGTTGTTCAGAGTCTATCGAACTTCTAGCCAACGTGTTTCCATCTTCTGATGTTTTACATCGTCAAGTGACAAGCTGAGAGTGTGGCGGTATATAAACTAAAGACCTGAATAAAGTATTGAGGAATTGTCATCCTGCTCCGAGAGTCTTATGCCTCTGGAATTTTTTTAATCTATAATACTAGGAAAATAGCTAGAGCTACTCCAGGTTGCAGTTAATGCTCTCATAACACCAATTCAGGCTGCTGTTTTAAAGTCTTTATTTAACATTTGTTAAGGCTTTTACCCTTGTCTCAGTGTTCAGGACACTTGGCATCCAGAGTGTTGCCTCAAAATAGTATTGGGGCAGGGGGACCTTCCCCCAATCAAAACAAATCCCGCCTTCTAGAGAGACCCTTGAACTTCCCTGCACCCCGCTCCGAAGAGACTGTAGTCACTGGGAGTTGAACAGGGCACTCTTGCAGCCTCAGGTATGTAATTCTGAATAGTGACCTTGGGTAGCAACAGGGAGCGTGGAGTGCTGATATAGTATCTTTCCTGTAAGTAGATGATGCCAAGATAAGGCCTCTTGCAGCAGCGTAAAGAGAACTGGCAGGAAACAGTTTTGGTTTAATGGTCTTCACCTTAGTGATCCCTAGGTATCTAAGCAACTGCCTTAAATAATGATGTAGCTATGAATGCTACACCACGGTCTCATGAGTTGCTCCTTCTGTGTATGCCTTCAAAGACTAAGTTGCTGTGAAATACCAAAATTATCTGAGACTTTAAACCTGATGCATTTTGTGTCCATTTTGTTGTGTTCTTGATACTGTGCTTATTGGAGTGTCTTATTTATACATCTTTGATTAGAAAGAGGCCTCACGCTTTTGCCTAGAGGGTTTAAGCCCTTCCAAGCCTGTAAGTATTGATATTATTAATCAGTAAATAGATTATATCGCCATGGGTTATGAAGCGTACTGAATGGGACCATTCACTGCTTAGAAAACGTGTCCGAAGAGTATAATTTGCCGCATTGGACGTACAGCTGCCATTCCTGTTGGGAAGAGGTTGCCAGTGAACTGTAACACGGAGTGCCGCCTTGGCTTTGCACCGCGCTGCTGCTTGAATTTGGCAGGGTGATCTGTGGTCCGAGAGGATGCTATCTGTTTGTACTGAAAATGACTTATCTGCTACCTCCAGGTAGGAACAAGGAGGAAAGGCAGGAGAATGGGATTCTGCCGGGTCATTTTCCCTACGTGGGGATGCACAGAGGATCTATTAAAAGAGAAAAAACTATGGTTTGCATTCATGCTACTTCCCTGCTGTTCTCTGTGCCTCAGAGAACATTTAACATGCTGGGAGATTGGAAGAAAGAGCTGATGAAGCTTCCCTCCCCCAGTGTGGCTTTTCTGCACATCTCAGCTGTTGAGCTGCCAATACCTGCATAGAAGTAACTGTCAAAGGAAAACTGATAGTAAAATACCCCTCCTGAACACAGGAGTCCTTGAATAGGGAGAGGAGAATGATTACAGGTGATTTACCTTTGCAATACAGCTGCCCAGTTACCAAAGACAACATCAAAAGCCAGTTAGATCTTAAAAGGAAAACACATTCCCTTTTGGTGAAGTTTCACATAGGCTTTGATGCAGATCTGCAAGGGACTCTCTCTCTCTCTCTGTGGTTTCCCCTGATTAGTTGCTTACCCCATTTTGTGTAGGAATACTGAAGGGTTTTGTTTTCCTTCTGCCGGTTTTTCTCTGAGAGCACCAAAACCTCCCAGGGATGGCAGGGCTGGGGGAGAGGCTGTGACCAGGGCCACTGCTGGTAAGAAAACAAGCATTGGAAACCTTAACATCTTTTAGGATAGTCCTCTCCTTGTCTCTGCGGTAGATTAATGGCCTGGCTGTATGTTTTAGCAGATTATTG